CTCCTATCAGCAGCCTGACTGCAGGCCGAAGTGGGGGCCAGACTGAGCCCCACAGTCTGGCAATGAGGAAACCGTTTTCTTCCCCTGAGCCTCAGGAGGGGGAGGGAACCCTATGCAGAAGGTCACTTTCCAGGCAGTGGGGTCCTTGCCATCTCGGGGAGGCATGACAGACACCAAGACCAGACTGTGAGTGAGTGGGAGGGGTCCCTAGGGAATGCAAGAAATGAGCAGGCAGGGGAGGCCCAGCATTTGCCAGACAAGGGACAGACTGATCTACTGGGCAGCCCAGGGAGGCCTGCTCCTGTGAGGGCCTCAGATTCACCATGCCAGCCAGGTTCTGCTCCGCAGTACTGAGGGCCTGCCTTCTGGATGTGCCTGGTCCCTCCTGCAGAATGCTCCCACAGATGCTATCGCTGTTCCTTTTGGTTCAGTGACTAAGTATTTGGCACCCACCTCCAATCATTGAAGAATGCAGACAAGTTAAAATATGAACCTTGCTGCCATGGGCCTGTACCCTGCTTCTGAGCAAGAGAGGCAGGGCTCCCTGCCCATCAGGGATTGGGCATGGAGGGGCTGCTATTGCCTGCTGCCACCATCATGGCCTCCCTTCCCAAAGCCCTCTGGGAAGACATTGAACCCAAGGCTGCAGGAAGGAGGTGGTTCTGTAGTCCAATCCTGGATCTGAAACATAACAGGGGAGATCCCTCCCCTGAGGTTCAGGGACCCGTGGAAGACAGGAAACATGAGTTAGAACCATGGACCATCCGTCTGTCTGTCTTCGTTCCTAGACAGCCACACCAGAGAACTGTCTTCCTGACCATCAGACTTAGCCCATGGCTATCACTCACTCACTCTGCATTCCCCTGCTACTTTGTTGCAATAGAAAAAAAAAAAAAAAAAAAAGCCTTACGCAGCCAATCTGCACCGGGAACACTGGTGGTCCAGGTCAGCACCGCTCAGGGAATACAGCCTGTGGGATCCTGAGTCTGTGGGATCCTGCGTCCTCAACCTCATCTGTGCACATGTTCTTCTTTGTCTGTGGGTTTGCCTGCGTCTGTTAAACCCTTCACATCTTCAGGATCACTGTGTCTGTGGGGACCTGCATCTGTAGGTTCCTCATCTTCAAATCTAATGAGTAGGAATCCAAAAAATATTTGGAAAAATTGCATTTATACCGAGCATGCGCAGACACGATTCTCTTCTCCCCGTGAGCAGTGTGCTGTAATGGCTGCACAGCATACGCAGTGTGTTGGGCTCTGTGAGCCAGCCGGGGGATGTCTCCGAAGGGCTTTCTCTAAGGGGGCCCATGGCGTTCCTGGGCCTGACCTCTCATGAACGCTAAGGGACAAGTGTAGGACTGGAGCCGTGTGTGGACTTCTGAACATCAGTGGCTTCAGTCACGTGGTGAAAAGAGAATCAGAGCTGTGGCTCAGTCGAAGATGTCTGCCTGGTGTGTGTGCGTTCTGGGTTCAGTCCCCAGGACCGCAGAGGAACTGGTGGATGGAATCATGATTTGCTCTGCCACCTGGGGTCACCTCAGTGTGCGCACAGTCCTTGCACTCGACACGCTCCTCTTCACATGCTCAACCCTTTGGGGTCGTGGTCCAGCTCACAGACTGTGTGGGTCCTCACAGGCTCACAGTTACATAGGAGGAGAGCATTAGGACAAAGGTCAGGGCATGTAGGTGTTCAGGCTGCTGTGGCCAGGGCTAGCCCCTCTGAGCTCAGCAGAGGCTGTGACAAGACCAAGGTGGAGGTTTCCTCCGGAGATAGGCTGTGGTCAGAGGTCTGTAGGAGGATTCTGAGAGTGAAGGTGCTTGAGTGCGGTCTGTGCTAGGCCAACCAGAGCTCTGCCTTCATGCCGCTCAACTGCCTAGTCAGCAGGAGGAGCGGACTATGACCTTCTTACCAGGAGTCTGGGGGCAGGGCTTGGGATGGGGAAGGGTCTCCCTAGCGTCGTGTAGGTTCCACAGTATAGGAGGCTTGTGGTCTTCCCCTCTCTGATGGGGCCGGCTGCCACGCCCCATGCTCCAAATGGCGTTGGTGCTGGGACTGTAACTCTGGCGGCAGAGTACAGGAGCCTGTGGGTTCAATTCCCGGCACTGTACAAAGTGGCTGCCCGGGTGCCTGCTCGTAATCCAGCACTCAAGACATAGCGCCAGAGGTTCAAGGTCAGCTTCCTAGATAATGAGCTCCAGGATAGCCTGGGCTACATGAGATCATGTCTCAGAAACTGAAAATAACAAAACAAACAAGTAAATAATAAGAAGTACTACCCAGCAGTGTTTAGTCTGAACAAATGTAGGCAACCATTGCTTCTAGAGCGTTTCCACCTCCCCAGAGAGAGAAACCCTGCCTGGGAGGCTCTGCTTCTCGCTCTGCAGCCCAGCAGCTTTTGCTCCTCTCTCTCTGGATTTGCCTGTTCTGAAGGTTTGCCTACATGAAGTCACACTGTGCGTCTGATGAGAGAAAGTCTTGGGTTTCATCCTCATGGTTGCTATGTTATCACAGTCCTGTGGCCGGTGGTCTTCTAACTTGTTTGCCCACTGCCTGGGGTAAGGGTAGGTAGAGAGGCTGGCGCCCTGTGGCATGGGAAGTTGAGAACATGTAGGAGCCCATCCAGGACTATGGGAAGGACTTGGTGGTCAGAGCCTAGCCTGCAGGCCCAGCCCTCTGTGGGTGGACAGTTTTATACTATGGAACTCTGGCCTCCTCGCCAAGGCCTATCCACCCAAGCCCAGCAGGGTCTTGCATACTCGGGAAAAGGTGGGTCATAGACATTGGCTAAGCTCTGGCAGCAGTTGGCCGCCCCACAGTCCCCAAGCTAGAGCCTCCAAGGAAACCTCTGCATGGCCCTCAGAGGCTTAAGGTGCAGAGATCACAAGTGGCAAGAGCCGGAACCTTGGAATGGAGAGCTGGTTCAGTGGCTAAGAGTACTCACTGCCCTTGCAGAGGACACAGGTTTGGTTCCCAGCACCCACACAGCAGCTCAAAACCACCTATAACTCCAGTTCCAGGGCGTTTGATGCCCTTGCTGTTATTGAACTTGGGGTCACATCCTGTGTCCTGAGCCAGGTTTGGCCACCCATACTCAGTAAGCCAAACGAACAGTAGAAAGCATGAAAAGGCCACATTGGGAAGCAGGACATTTGGCTTAAGTTTGGCTTCAGGGTCCAAAGTGAAAGTAAAACTTAAACAGAGGGTCAAGAAATTGCACATGTAAGCACTCTGGTTACGGTGGTGTTCAGCCTACTGATGACCCATCACTGAGCTTCAGTCTCAGGGGGGACAAGTTGTTAAAACTGGGTAAAATCTCCTTTTCCTTTTCCCAGCATGAGATTCTTTGGGGGAAATTCCCATGTCTTTGGGGTCCATTGTTTTAAACCCTGACAGTCACACTGACAGACAGACAAGTTTTCCCTTCAGAATATCTTCATTTCTGTCAGTCCTTTTACATCTTTCCAGCCTGTGACAGCATAGGTCACACATGCAGTAAATAATTACACATACAAGTTTTTTTTTAAGTCCTTAAAAAACAAAAACAAAAACAAAAACAAAAAAGCCCAACCAGACCACTGTCACTTGCCCTTGTCTTCCAAGTTTCCTCTTCTGTCTCCTGAGCTGGTCTTCCTCCTTCTGGGAAGCTCTTAGTAGGACCCTCCCTCCTGTATTAGCTTCCATCGGGGATTGTCCTGGACCCTGGCCTGACCCCAAAGCTCCTGCTGAGGATCCACACTGGACCACTGGGGCTTTGTCATCACCCAGTTGTCACTTTGTACAACCGTGCTCCATCTGAGGACTGAGGCACAGGAGGACGGAGCACAAGGTCCCCATGAGAAGAGGGACATATGCTAGGAGCACTGTCAGCCCGGGCCATGGGTCTTGGCCTCCCTTGTGGTCTGGAAACACTGTGGACTTAGAGGAGGCAGGCTGGAGGGAGGTTCCAGTTGGGCCAAGTTGGGTCCATCATCTGTGAAGTGGGAACAAAAGGTAGTGTCCACCTCCAGCCTGTGGAGGGCCAACTGTGTGTGCAGGAAGGTTCCTGGGCACAGAGAGGATCAGTGAAGCACCTGCAGTTAGGCAGCCACTCTGGGCAGTGTCAGCCACTGGGTACTGGCCTCCCAAATCCTTCTTGCTTGATGCTTTTGGATGTGGACTGGGTAGTCCTCAAGTTGATATTTGTTGAAACACCCAAGGCAGGCAGGTAGGGCCTCCCTAAAGCTCATGGGGGCAAGCTGACCTAGCCGAGGGTCCCACAGATGGTGGAGGAGGGCTCACTGAGTTCAGAGTCATTGAATACATTTTTTTTTGGGGGGGAGGAGGTCTGGGCTGCCTGGGCTACCTAGCTGAAAGCCAGCAGTGATCATCCCTGGGTGGAAGAATGGGGAAGTCACTGTCATGGAGATAAAGCCAACGGCTTAAACAAATTCTTTTGAAAGTGTTCTTTGGGACCTCCAGGGACTGACTGCTGCCTTGGCTCTGTTCATCACTTAGAGGGCTGGACTCAGGGGTCACATCTGGCCTTCCAGTACTCCAGGGCACCCATGCTCCAAAACCTGCTGTGCACCCACCCAGCTCTGCAGCCAGCCTGCAGGCTTGTGTGTGAGCCCTCCAGCCCATGCTGCCCTGGGAACACAGTGGAGGCCAAGGGGATCGTGGTCTGGGAGCCCTCCCCACCAAACAGCTCCCCTCCGGGAGGTGTGCAAAGCCCCAATCCACCTTGCTGGCAGCTGGGTGGATCCCCAGGAGCCCTGGCACCCGGCAGGAGAGGGGCAGGCAGGAGAGGTGAATGTGCGTTTATCCCAACACAAGTAGTGGCCTGTTGGGGTGGGGTGGGGGCCCCAGGAAATATTTGGGATGACTTGGAGCCGGCTGGCCCTTTAAGGCTCCTGTAACAAGACACCTCCCCAACGGGACAGGAGCCACAGGAGCCGGAGCTGGGGCTTCCACCTTAGCCCTGGTTTCTTCCCTCCCTCCTCCCCCTTCCTTGCCAGGCCCAGTTCAATTTGCTCAGCAGCGCCATGGACCAGATGGGCAGCCGCGCGGCCCCAACCAGCCCCTACACCCCAGAGCACACTGCCAGTGCGCCCACCCACTCGCCCTACGCGCAGCCCAGCTCTACCTTCGACACCATGTCTCCGGCGCCTGTCATCCCTTCCAACACTGACTACCCTGGTCCCCACCACTTCGAGGTCACCTTCCAGCAGTCAAGCACAGCCAAGTCGGCCACCTGGACGGTGAGTAGCCATGTTGCCAGTGGCATCGGAAGGGAGGGCAGCAGGGTAGGATGACACAGCCCTGGCACTGAGCTCTGTCTGAGCACACACAGGCTGTCCACATGGGCTTCCCACCTGGCCAGAGCCAGGAGGAGCATCAAGCAGGAGGCGGTCCTGGGGCTGGGCAGTGTGGGTGTGTCCACCCCTAGGACGTGTGTCCAGAGCCAGCCAACCTCCCATGGGGTCTGGAAAGGTCGGGAAAGTTGCAACCAGCAAGGTCCACAGGGCAGGGAGCGTGGCCAGTTTTCTGTGCTCAGTGCCTTGAAATCTATCTAGTCCCGCGCCTCTGCTGAGAGTCTCGGGCACCCACAGAGGCTGCCTGTTCCAGAGAGTTTGGTTGTGGATTGGGGTTTTGTCCTTACATCTCTGTGCATTGGTGTGAGACCGGATCTCCAGAAAGCACGGTGCTGAGGGTTCCGGTTCTTTCCCTGGTGCCTCCAGAAGCAGTCTGGCTTGCGGCTGGGAATTAGCTGATGTTGACAAAATCTCACCTGTTTGCTTGCTGAGAGCTGAGCAGCTGGCTAAGTGCTGGTGTCTGTCCCCATTGCGCAGCCAGGAAAGCTCAGTTGTGAGAAGGGAGAGCAGTCTGCTCAGAGTTATGCAGGCAGTGAGAGATGCTGGGCTTGGGACATAGTGGCATGAGCACCCCCTGGGCACCAACACTCTGTGGGAGAAGGGGCTGCAGGAGGAGCACAGTGAGGCTTGAGAGACGCTGGTCTGGGCACACAGAGTGTTGGGTAGGAAGGGCAGTCCCGGGGCCTTCCGGTCTCTGTACCCAGCTAAGGCTAGGGACAGAGAACCTGACACCTGGGACAGTAGGAGGTATACTGAGTCATCCACTGGTCCCCGTCTTCCTCATCTACGCTCTCCAGGGAACAGCTGGATATGGAGCCGTCCATGCAGTGCAAGCTCCCGAGCAGGGCCACCCCTCCTCCCAAGTCCCCTGGTTGTAGCTTTCACATTCTTCCAGGAGACTGAAGAGCTGGACAGAGCCAGACCTTGTAGGTGGCCACAGACAATCAGTCTAGCTGGCCTGGGCCTGGTCTCCTCTAGTTTCTTTTGGCTGCTGTTCAAGGCTCCCCAGCTCCTGGCCCATCATCAAGTGAAGGCTCAGCCCAAATGCTGGAGCTCTGAAAGGCTTCAGTGGGCAAGAGGGGCTGGGTACCTACGGCACTTCATCCCAGTGACTGTAGGCCCATGTGCTCCATTCTCCCTAATCACAGATCATTGCTGACTGACGGTGGTGATGAGGGTTTGAATGAGATGGGACTGGTGCAGTACACAGCTCTAAAGCCTATCCTGGGCAGCGGAGGGAGCCATCCAACATGGCCTTTCTGTAGAACCATCCCTGAGGACGGCCTCTCCTGTACTGCCTGTGTGTGTGTGTGTGTGGGGGGGCTAGCCTAGGCTCTTCCTCCGGCAGGGAGGAATGACCTAGACTGAGTGACCTGTGGTCAGGCTAGGAAGCCCAGTATATGGGTGTTTCCAGTCCCAAGAGGCTCTCTACACTGCTCTCACACTTTCAAATGTATTCCCTAAGTCCGTCGTGGGGGGAGGCAGGGTCCTGTCTGTCATAAAGGTCTGGTGGTGTAAAAAGTCGCCTAAATCCTGAGGATGTTGCTGCGTGTGGGATTGCCTCCATGTGGGATTGCCTCCATGCCTCTTCTTTGCCTGAGATGTTGATGATGTCTTTGCCATGCCTGAGGGTTCAGTTGCCTCAGATAGTCAGGGCTGATCTTTGAGAGGGGCAGATACTGCCCGCCTTACTGGCTTCCTCCTGCCATCTGGGGCTTCTGCAATCCCCTCTGAGGTGTTTGACATCAAGTATCCCATAATGCTTTGTTTCCTGCTGCCCTGCTCTAACTGCTCCTATGGTGTAGTCTGCTCGGACAAGATATACTCCTGGCTGGCCAGACATACCAGGGAGCAAGGACGGCATGGCCTCCCAACCCAGCCTTCACCCAGTGCCAGAGCAGCAGAGCGGAGCTGTCAGCAAGAGGACGCTGTTGCCTACCCACTCCCAGCCTCGTCACACAGGGGGTGAGGTGGGACCAACATTGATAATGAGATTTTTGGCACCTCAGAGATCTGGGAGCAGACACTCGAGGGCTTTTCTCGATGCCTAGGAAAGGGGCTGGCAGCGGCTGCTCTCAGCTCTGGGGGTCCAACTGTGTGGTGCTGCCCAGACTTGCCACCTAGGCTCCTGCCACGCCACTGGCTGGTAACTGATAGATAATTCATATTTTTCTCAAGTACAATTCCAGATTGACTGCTGCCTTCATTCCTCTCAGATTGGCAAAAACACCCTCCCTGGCCTCCAAGTGACCACAGCTGTTAATGGGGCTTTTGGCCTCGGCATTGCTGAAGCCACTTTGGGGACTCTCTGGCCCCAGAGGATCTGCTTGGCCTGACCAGATTTTCTCTTAGCCTGAAAATCACTTGTTCAGTAAGGGTCTGGGGTCTAGTTCATGGCCCTGCCTGAATGTGTACATACATGTACATACATGCACAAGGTCCCCATGCCCCGACATCAGGTACAGTGTGTGTGGTGTATGCACTTATGTGCCTGTGGCACACAAGGATGTAAACAGAAATGTGCTAAGGGACCTACATATGAGGACACACACACTGGCCCTCCTGGTTGCTCCCCAGAGTTCTGACAGCCCTTGCCTCAGAAAAGGCCAAGAGGAAGGAGGATTGGTGAGAAGAGGGCTTTATGTTTCGGCAGAGACTATAGACAGCTGGTCTCAGGAGCCCTTAGGAGGGGAGGAATCGGGACAAGTTCTTGTCTGTCTCCCGACAGCAAGAAGAGAGGGGCGTCCAGCAGCAGCTCGGCGTCTGCACAGTGGCTCTGCTTAGACAAGAGGGCCACTGTGGGTGGCCAGCCTGCCTCGCGTGTGTCTGCAGAGCCCCAGAGGCAGGGTGGCCACAGCAGCTACTACAGAGGCAGCTGCAGAAGAGACCAATAGTGAAGTGGTCCTGGATGGCTTGACTGCCTGGGAGCTTCAAGAATGAACATATAGATGGCCTGGACATGTCCCCAAGTAACCTTCAGCTGCCCTCAGTGTGTGTGTGTGTGTGTGTGTGTGTGTCTGTCTGTCTGCCCGCCCGCCCGCCCGCCCGCCTGCCTGTCCTGAAAGAGAGCCCCTACCCACCCACCCAGCAGTCCCTGGCAGGAAGCACAAAGCCTCTGTGAGGGCTTCCTGGGGAGGGACGGGGCTGAGTCAACACTAATGGATTTGGAGCAAACTTTCCAGCCCCTCAGAGGTTTGCAAAGCAGAAGAATAGAGGAGGTGTCCCGACATGATTGTGGTATCAATTGCGTTATCCTAAAAGTTTATGGAATGCATAAATGGAATTAATACCTTTTACTGGCACCAGGAGCAATTATGTCTATGTAAAGCCTAGAGAAGAGCTCTAACCATGTTTATTGTGGAGATGAGACGTGAATTATTAGGGAAACAAGCACTTACGGAGGGATTGCGGCAATTGCTCAGACTGTGTAGCTTTGCAGGGGAGGACGGGCCCCACTAGGCTGGCCCTGGCTCTCATCTGGGCTGGGTACCTGCAGAAGGGATGATGGCCTGAAGCACTCTGGCCATTGATGGCCTCCCAGTAGGCACAGACTCTAGCCTGGAGACTCTGAACCCCTGGATCCAACTGCAGCTTGACACTGCCAGCGGTCCCTGCATCCAAGCGTGCTCCCCAACGGAGCGGCCAGACCACGTACCTCCAGGGTGCTAGTGGGGGCATGAGAAAGGGCATCCTGGGGGACAGGACTCTATCCCATGGTTTGGGGCTATTGAGGATTGAGTTCTTATTCATGTATTGCCAAAAATCATCCTCTTTTCAGAGTCAGCTGTGTGGCTTGGGAGTGTGGTTCCTGGTTCACTCTACTGTTCTCTGCACTCAGGAGAGCTGGTGTGACCCTGGAAGGCCTAAAGCTGGCGCTTCCACAGACTCTCCCACAATAGCTCATGCCACTCATGCTGAGGAGAATGTCACAGCAGAGTGACTAGAGACCTGTTCTGAGTGGGTCTGTGGGAGACTCCCTGTTTCTTGTACTCTGCACAGCTGATGCAGCCATGGCATCCTGGGACCCCAGCTGCCATCCCTCAGCCCACAGCAGATACACTTACTTCCTTTCCCACTTTACAGACCAGAAACTCAGAGGGCAGGTCAAGGCGATGTCACCCATCTGCAAAGGGCTGAGACAGGACGCTCACCTCAGTGGCCTATGCCAGAGATGGCGGAGATCTCTCTCTCTCCCCTGTCCACAGCTCTAAGTTCCCTAGTGGTGGTTCTGAAACCTTAGAGTTCTCTAAGCAACAGGAAGGGGGCCCTGACACCCAGAGGCCCACCTGCTTGCCTCAAAGAAGGAGATCTGGGCTTGTTCCTTAGCATGGGGAGAGCTTCTGCCACCGCTCACATTGGTGGAGAGACATGCCATCCACCCAGGACAGATTTGTAAATGCTTTCTGACCAACATCCGAGGTGAGGAGGCCAGCCAGGGCCATGGAACACTCCTCCTTCCTCTTCGCATTGTTGATCCGTGCTACATTTGCCCTGCTGGACCTTGAGCACCTCAGCTCTACCAACACACTCTACAGCTTGGAGAGAAGCCAGTGGGGGTGGAGCATTGTTCATCATAGGCTAAAGCTGGACAGGGTTTGGGGAGCACAGCAAGATGCCATCCGGGGCCGAGTGTTGAGTTGACTTCTTGCATGCCTGCACCTCCAGGCTGGCGGTAGGTATAGGGAAACCACCTGAAATTTATCAGACTCCCACCTTGGAAGCTGAGCTAACCTTAGGTGCATGGGGCCACTCCAGAAGAGTTGTCTGTGACCTGGAGGCCCAGACCCTGTTGCCTCCTCCTGAGAAAATCCCACAGCCACATCCAGTAACATCACTGCTTTTACATGAGCTGGAGTGTTCTAGGCTTTGAGATGGGAGGAGGGGCC